TAGGGAGGGGTAAAGAAGAGGAGTTGGTCAATCAACAGAAAGCAAGTGGTTAGAGAGGCAATCATGATGGGTGAGAGGTCTGTAGTGTTGTCCAAATGAAGTGATCTGGCAAGTTCCAGTTCCTTGATGCTATCTGGAAGGACTGATGTTTGGTTTCCTGGGAAAGAACTCAGATAAGACAGATGTAACTTTCTTAAATTTTAAAACTGGAAGAGTCAATTTTTATGTTTATTCAAAAGAAACCATAAGCATCAATTCTATGGGACAAGTGAAATCAGTTGAATGGGACAATTGGACTGGTTTCAGTTGTTGGATTTTCTCCTCAGCTTCTTGGAGAAGGAAAAATAAAACTACAGTACTAATCCTGTACCATGTTTTCCTAGATGGATATAGCAAGGGACAGAACAAACAAGTGGTGGCAAGAAATTAGAAGATACTGGCAGAAACTGGCTTAGGATCTCACCATGGCGTCCAGAGTTGGAAAGAAAAGACGAGAGAAATTTCTGGATAAAATGAACCCCCGTAGTCAAAGAACAAAAGCAAAAGAAATAGAGTCATGAGAACATTGGAAATGTTGAATATTGAAATCTGGAAGGATATTAAGATAACCATTGCAACTAGTGACAGTTTCTAGGGTGCAAATGGATGGCTGAAGTAGAGACAAGGTCATTAAAAGAAGTGGTCTGGGAACTGAAGGGCTAGATAACTGGATGAGCCTAGTAAATGAATGTTGAAACCTTCATAGGATGTTAAATAGGTTTCAGATTTTATGCCAACTCTGCCTGAACATTCTGGCTGCCTTAATGTAGTATTGAGAGGGATTCTGAGGGCATTTTAAGGGCCAGACAAAAAGAGTGTGGGAGTTGGGATGTAGAAGAAAACAGAATAAGGTATGACTCAGGAATTCAAAGAATGGGAGGTAGTGACTAGTTCAAGATGAATTGCAGGCACGCAATAAATATTAATCACCAAGTTGATATACTTTTCTCTCCAGTCAGGCTGTATTTCTTCTCTCATCTCTCTTTAACTAGTTACCACCATGAATCCAAATCCCCATTCATTTTAAGGATGGCTTAAATTCTTCCTTTACCAGAACTTTTTGAGTTTTGCCTAATCAGAGGTCACTCCGTGGAAATCTGTACCGAAACATCCATATACAGTTAAGAAATTCCAAGCCATCCACATAGAACCCAAGTGGTCTCTTAGGAACGCTCCCAGGGTTGTGTAGAAGAAAAAAAAAAAAAAGCAAATTGGACCCTTTACAGAAAACATATTTTTATTATCTGTGAAACTCAACTGGCCATTTAGAGTGTGATTGTTCTGTACTTGGAACAATGGAAAGATGGGCCAAGTCATAACACACTAAGCATGCATATTATTTTAATTAATACTCATGATGGCCTTTTTGATAAGATATCACTACCATTTATTTAACAAAGTACTTAAAATACTTTTTTAAATTAAAATTACATCCTTCATGTAACAGAGCACAGAGGCATGCATAGCATAAATTAAAAGTCTCTTTCTCAACACCTCTTATCTTACAGACTTGTCCATTTTGCTGATAGAGACAGTCCCTGTGAGATTAAAACACTTGTCAAAGGTCACCTAGGGAATGGAAGAGGTAGCAATGAAAGCCAAGTTTGTCTAACTAAAGACACTTTAATCTTTGTTTTATTACTTAAACACCACTGCCTAGTACTAGTCTTTTCAGGAAGGGTATTACACTGAGCTGAAAAGATAATCAGCAGACATCATGAAGACCACTTCTTCTTATTAACTAAACAAAAAGAGGCAACGTCAAGTGATATGGTTTGGCTCTGCGTCCCCACCCAAATCTCACCTTGAATTGTAATAACCCCCATGTGCCAAGGGCAGGACCAGGTGGAGATAATTGAATCATGGGGGCAGTTTCCACCATGCTGTTCTCATGATAGTGAGTGATTCCTCATGAGACCTGATGGTTTTATAAGGGGCTTCCCCCTTCACTCAGCACTCATTCTCTCTCCTGCTGCCCTGTGAACAGGTGCCTTCTGCCATGATTGTAAGTTTCCTGAGCCTCCCCACCCGTCCAGGACTGTGAGTCAATTAAACCACTTTTCTTTAAAATTACCCAGTCTCAGGTATTTCTTCATAGCAGCATGAGAACAGACTAATACATCAAGGAAAATGGAAACTGATACAAATTTAAAAATTTTATTGAGACAGACTGACTGAAGCTGGTTCTGTCTATGGTTCTGGACTTGCTTATAAAAGCAAGTGACAAGAGCCAAAATATGGAATCAGTGTAAGTGCCCAACAATGGATGAATGGATAAAGAAAATGTGGTATATGTACAGAATAGAATATTATTCAACCATACAAAAGAATGAAATCCTGTTATTTGTGACAACATAGATGAATCTGGAAGACATTATATTAAATGAAATAAGCCAGATGCAAAAAGACAAATACTATATGATATCACTCATATGTGGAATCTAAAAAAAACAAAAACTGAAAAGCTGAGCATGGTGGCTCTTGCCTATAATTCCAGCACTTTAGGAGGCCGAGGAGGGAGGATCAGGAGTCAAGGCCAACATGGCAAATCCCCATCTCTACTAAAAATACAAAAATTAGCTGGGCATGGTGGTGCACACTGTAATCCCAGCTACTCGGGAGGCTGAGGCAGGAGAATCACTTGAATCTGGGAGGAGGAGGTTGCATTGAGCAAAGATCGTGCCACTGTACTCTAGCCTCTGATAGAGTAAGACTCTGTCTCAAAAATAAAATAAAATAAAATTTTATATATATAATAGAAGCAGAGAGTAGACAGGAGGCTGGGGCAGGAGGATCACTTGATCCAAGGAGTTTGAGGCTGCAGTAAGCTATGATCATGCTGCTGCACTCCAGCCAGGGCAACAGAGTGAGACCCTGCCTCTAGAAAAAACAAAAAGAAACAGAGTAAACAGTGATTACCAGAGACTAAAGAGGGGAAAGGGAAGGAACGATGGACTGAGATTGGTCCATGGTACAAAGTTATAACTAGAAGGAATAAGTACCACTGTTCTATTGCACAGGAGGGTGACTGTTACAAAATAGCCAGAAGAAAAGCTTTTGAGTGTTCTCATCGCAGAGAAATGATAAACGCATGAGGTGATGGATATGCTAACTACTCTGATTTTATTATTATGTAACATATATATGCATTGAAATGCTAAATTGAACCCCATAAATACGTACAATTACAAAGTGTCAAATTTTTTTTTAAAAGCAATTGAACATAATAGCTGACTTTCACTTCAGCCAAAGATGGAGTAATAAGGACAGGATTTACTTTCCTCCTGAAAAAAATCTGGACAAAATATGTGAAACACCCAAGACTATGGACCTTAGCAAGGCAGGACATGAAGTCCTACGGACAGTTGCCCTAGGTTACTGCCTGGAGAGAATGTCCAAGCTCTGGCACAGGGAAGTGGAATGCAGCAGGGTCCAGTGTTCTGTCTGAGTGGAGGAGGTGAGGCAGGGAGTCTGGGAGGGCCGAGTCAGCAGAGTTCTCAAGGCAGAGTTGCAGAGACGAAAAATCTGTGTGCACAGGGAACTCCAGAGGTCTGTGGAAGGTTCTCTTTGGGTCTTAGTTCCATACCGATTGGCACATGAAAGATAAAAAACTATCTGTAGCCGGTACATTAACCAGCCAAAAGGACTAGAGAGAACATGCCTGACGCTCACACAGAACCAGAAATAATTTCTGCTTCTGCTAGCCACAGTAGAAAACCTCTTAATTCACAAGGCAGAAGATGGAGTATTGAAAAGGTCTTTGCCTCAAGAGAGAAGCAAAATTAGTTCTAGAGTAAATGATGCTCTGGTCATACCTAAAAAAAAAAAACTTAAAATCAAGACCTGGAAAGATCAAAGTGTTTCTAGATAACTTAATTGTTAGGACAAATCTCATGCATGTTTACAGGAATATACAAATATTCAGCACTCAACAAGATAAAGTTCCCGATGTCTACTATCCAATCCAAAATTATCCAGCATGCCTCTTCCTCAATCCAGGTTTTCAGTTCTGGTCAATCTGTTCCACATTATTTCCAACTCTACCTTAGATAGCAAATGTTAAGTGTGTCTTTCCTCTCTGCCACTTTCTCTGAATTCTCTGCAGCTTCCACTAACCTTTTGAGGCCGCATTCTTGTGCCCAAAGACCTCCAGGTCTCATCTGGTTTCTCTGTGATCTCCTGCTAATGAAGCCTGAAGCCACCTTTTAGAGGATACAAACAAAAACAAAAAACTAACCAAAAAAGGAATGTTGTTGGCCCCAGCAATTTCATAGTACATACATTTACTTTGAACTCTTCCTTTGGGGGTGAATAATCCAGGTTGTCTGACAATTTCTATATATTATATACCACCCAATACAAAGTGTAGCAGTTTAATGACAGGAAGGTTTGTGTTGTGAGTAATCTGAGCAAATGTCCTGAAAGCCACAAGAAGCTTAGGTTTAAAGGCAAGAAATTTTGGAAAGTTTTAAATGTGTTTCATCCAGGTAAATAGGACCACAGATATAAAATTCAAAACACATGCTGTAAAAATATCCACATCTTCACATGAAGCATGCTCTCCTTGTGTAATGAGGCATGTCTTTTAGATAGTTTTCAGAAAGAATCTGATTTCATTCTTGGAGAAAAGCTATTAAATTCTAAGATCTGTGTGTGATCTCAATCTCCTGACTAAAGCCTCAGGCAGTAATAATACATCAAAAACAAAATCGGCATTGAGAAGATTTTAAAATAGAGGGAATAATAATCTCTTCCTTCCTAGAGGCAGGTCTCTCAGGCTAGGAATGGAGTCATAGGATTCACCTAGAAACGCCTGGTATCCTTGGGATGTCCTCTTAGGTAAGCAAACAAACATCCAAGTATTGTAAGATTCCTACCACATGCCAGATTCTGTGTTGTGTGCCAAAGGCTTGGAATAAAATGAAGCCAAGCCCCAGCCCCTCGGTTAGTGATGTTCTTATCCAAGTGGTTTTGGTTTGGCTTCCTCGGACACTTTATTCCATGTTGCCTAATAGTTAAAAAGCTCCTATTTTATAGTCAGTGCATCTTTCTGTGGGTCCCCAGAGAAGGAAAGACAGTGAGGTAAGTGAAGTGCAGCTTCTTCCCTCCTCCCTCCCTTCTCCTTTCTGCCCTTCCTGGGCTCTCTGACAAGGGCTGTTGTTGGCAGGGAGCGCCCAGCGTTTGAGGCCTTAGTTATAAGTTCTGTTCAGCTTTTCCTCTAAGTACTGCTCTTTGCTCTGTCTGCTCATAACTGAGTTTCTCCACTCTCCTGCCTCTGCTTGTTCTTAGAGTTCAAAGGCCCCTAGGATCACTTCTTCTGTCCCAGCCAAACTCAGCTCTCCCCTCCAATCTGATGTCCCAGAAACAAACTTCGGTCCACAAGAAACCAGATTTGTTTGGCAAGCCCCAGAACACTGGGATATGGATGGCCTGGCAGTCAGCCCTGCTGGACCGGGCTGTGAGTGGCATATGAGGTGAACCCTCATCCCATGGGCAGCATTGGGCTGTGTCCTGCTCCTTCCCCTTCTTTCCTTTGTATATAGCGATCCCTCTCCCTGGAACTCTTCTCTCATTCCTGTCCACTGCCTCTATTTTCACCTAGCCAACTCCTTTCCTCAAATACTGCCTCCTAGAGAAGTCTTCGGGGGTTCGTATTATGGACTGCAATCTTTCCTCTGCTCCCAAATCCATATATTGAAATTCTACACCCCAGTTTTCAGAATGTGACTTTATTTAGAAATAGGTTCTTTTCAAAGGTAGTCAAGCTAAAACGAGGTCATTAAGGTGGGCTCTAATCCAGTATGACTGGTGTCCTTATGAAAAGAGAAATTTGAACAGAGATATGCAGAGGAAAGATGGTACAAAGAGACACAGGGAAAAGACAGCCAGCAACAAGCCAAGGAGTGAGGTTCTCACAGCCCTCCGGAGGAACTAGCTCTGCCAAAACCTTGATCTTGGACTTCTGGCCTCTAGAACTGTGAGAAAATAAATGCCTGCTGATTAAATCACCCCACCTGTGGTATTTCATTATGGCTGCCCAAGCTGTTGCACTTTGCCTCTCTGAGCTTCAGTTTCTTCATGTATTGACTAGGCGTGATAATTTCTATTTCATGTGTGGATGGGAGGATTGAATGAGCTAATATGTGAACATCCCTGGATAGATGGCAGTTCTGTGCATAGCCCAGGGACATCTGGGGCATGTCTGCACAGCAATCGGGGCCTGAACTCAGTTTGGGACTTACTGATCATCAGGTGCTTGTGGGACATCCAGGAAGACATTCTAGTAGCAATGGCACATACAGTGCTGGGTAAGTGCCAAATCCATGTCAACTGAATTCCTTTGTTTTCCCTGTTCCCAATTTCTCTCTCCCTCATTTTCATGTGTGTAATCCAACAAGGCTGGCGTTCTCCATTCAGCCTTTCCATGCCCACTCTTCTCTCTACTACTTAACAACCTGTCAGCACAAGCAATGTCTATCTATCTGCCTCTGTTACCTGGGGAGTCATTTACTTTATGAAAAAACATAAAGATTGGAAACCCATGGGGCGCATGGAGGATGAAGAGAGAGCTTGAGTGGAGCAGGGCTTCCTTTGTGTCATGAAGATGAGATTGGGTGGTGTGGATGACTTATGACGTTTTTGATGGTACTTACTATGAGGAGACTTGCGGAGGCAAACCAACTGCCTTATAAATATGAGCTACTTCCCTCAAACATTTTATACTGAAACATGTAAATAAAAATGTCTCTGGCATGAAGTCTTGGCAATTTAGTTGTTTCTGGGTTGTAGAGAAACAAATCTAAGTGCATTAAATGATTATATCTGGGAAAATATAGCATACTGCTTTGAAATAAAGCTCTGTCGTAAGCTCAGCATGTGTATGTATATATAAGTGTGTGTGTATGCACACACATACACATGTATATTTGTGTGTTTGAATAAGAAAGTGAACTGAGGGAGAAGATACTTGATGTTTGTTTATATTCACTAGTCTTTTATCTCAAGCTGAAATCTTTTTTCTTTGGATACCTGTGGTTGTCTGATCACCACAAGTGTTAGTGAGAGATAACAAAATAACCAGAAAGAAGAAATATAAAATTATACAGAGAAGAGCCCAGACTAGACTTTCAAATCTGACCCATTCCCTGATGTATTGCCTTTCAGGGTGTTATGAGCCATAGCATGTAACAATCAGGAAGGACACCTGGTTCAGCTCCCTCATTCTAAGGCAGGGATGGGACGAACAGAGAAACTAAGCGGTCTGTCCAAATGATCCGTGGAAAGGCAGTGAGGCAGCCCCATTCAAGCCTGGGCAGAATTTCATGCTGTGAGGCCACTGTGTGATCCACATGAGGATCTAGGTCAGAGGTGACAGGTTTGTGAGAGGGCAACTCTTCAGTGTGGCTTTTCAATTTATGAAATTGAAAACTACTTTGCTGAGTAAGCAACTCACTGGCTGCCGAAGCAGGGCTCCAGTGGCATAGAAGGTACCTTCATGACAAATTAGAAAAAGGTACCACCTCCATGCATATGACACAGGAGAGAGATATGCCTTTCAGTAAAACAGGGAAATCTCCTTTCATGCCTGAGTAGATGTCTAGGGTGCATGGCTTGGAAAGCAGAGAGCAGCCTGGATTTCAATCCCTACAGGCCCCTGGCTGAGTGCCCTATTGCAGAATAACCTGTCAAACTGTACCTGGCAGATCTCTGCAGAGGTACCTTCACTGTGACTGAGGGAATGGGGAAGTGTTTGGGTAGCTAGATAAGACCTGGGGTTCCTTTTATTTTAAAAAATGTGTTATTCATACATTATCTTGGAACATATTTGTGGGGTACATGTGAAATCTTGTTACATACATAGAATGTGTAATGATCAAGTCATTGTATTGGGGCTATCCATCACCTCAAGTATTTGTCATTCCTGTGTGTTGGGAAGATTTCAAGTCCTCTCTTCTAGCTATTTATTTTGAGATATACAATACATTATCATTAACTATAGTCACCCTACTCGGCTATTGAATATTAGAACTTATTCCTTCTCTCAAACTATATGTTTGTACCCATTAACCAACCTCTCTTCATCCTCCCCCTTCTCCAACATATCCTTCTGTCTCTCATAGCTATCATTCCATTCCCTACCTTCCTGCGATCAAATTTTTTAGCTCCCACATATTAATGAGAACAAATGATATTTGTCTTTTCTGTACCTGCCTTATTT